GTGTACCTGATCATATTGATGCAGATTCTGCTCTGCAAAATGCATCTGACTGGTATCTCACCAAACATTACGATAGCGATCGAACTCGAAAAAATCAAGGTCAACAAAGTCATGCCAACTTGGAGAATTAGATCAAATTTAATACTAACTTTGTGTACTGCAAAAGTTTTTCATACGACATGTACATTGCTGTGTACCTTATCTTCACGCAAATTTGCCACAGCAGCTCTTGTACTTCTTCCCACTTGAGCACGGGCACTTCTCGTTGCGACCGACTTTAGGCCCGTCCGGGACTTTTCGGTTCATTCGGATATTCAAATCTTTGAACATCTCATCCTGTAACTTGTTGATATTGTCCTCTTCTCTCCTTTCAAACTCTGTCTTCTCTCTCAGAGTCGACGGGAATCCATTGGCCAAACGGATCACCTTTTCGGTCTGTAGCTTGTTATTCAAGAAGTGAGTCTTGAACTGCGATCGCTCGAATACTAGTGTGTCGTCCTGGGCTTTGAAGGTACTGTACGATGTATTGTATACTGCAAACGGATCGTTCACCACCACTTGCAAACTTTCCACACCTGCAATCAAATACAAAGTGGTATCTGTCAGGAACGGCACACGCGCTAACGGCAATGACGCGAGTATATTAGGTTAGTTTACGACGTCAGTTATAGTAATCAGCGTATAGACTTGCGAATACAGCGTGCTAGCATGGTATGCGTTGTAAGCATGTCATGGGGCCTGAAAGTTAATATGACAATAGTCCAACCACATATTAACGACGAATGTGATATGACTGCGTGCACGTACGCGCACACTGGTACACAGACACCTACGCACACAGTCTCGCACCGAGATATATATATATATATACATATATTCATGGTAAGTCGAAGGCAATAAAAGATGCTGGAATTTTCCAACATAGAAAAGTCTACATATATACATATATATATATATTCGTTTGCTATTGTCCAATAGCGGTATTCCCAAAAACTATATACACACACATATATGCATACACAGATTCATATATGCAATTCTATATATGCATACACAGATTCATAAATGCAATTCTATATATGCATACACAGATTCATATATATGCAATTCTATATATGCATACACAGATTCATATATGCAATTCTATATATGCATACACAGATTCATATATATGCAATTCTATATATGCATACACAGATTCATATGCAATTCTATATATGCATACACAGATTCATATGTGCAATTCTACACGCAGAGTAAAGTAAATTTGCACTAGAGAGGAACTAATTTAATACATATATAGGCGTGGTTCGTGGTGCAATAGGATTTGCACAAACATGCCCACTCGCTTACTCGCATGAAACGCGAATGATTTTTTTCACACATTTGGTTCCATCAAGGGTTTAAGGGGCCAAATCCATAATAATATATGCACACGTGCTTGTACACGACTATATACAAGCGTATACTTCCGGTAAATAAACCCACCCGTAATTACTTACACGTATATTAGACATTCTCTTCTACGCAAAGTCGGTCTGTGCACGTGAATGTGCGTATAAGCATCTCATCGCTACATCATGTATACAACCACACATGTTCAGACACATATAGAAAGAATGAAGTGTGTACACATATCTATACAGCTTGTGCATCAGATTTCAAATGTGCAGCTTTGATACTCTGTCCCGTTCATGGGCTTAGCTAAGTATTCAGGTCATGAACATTATATATCATAATCAGTTAACCACACATTTACATTTACACATTGTCCGTGGCTACACAAGACCCATTTGCCCTATCCAATAGTTGTATGAAGAACAATACGCATACAACCGGGCCTACAAGTCGCATACCAATTGTATATCAACTACGTTAGCATACTTCTGCGGTGCCGATCTCAGACGTTGTCAGCGCGACTTTCAAATTAAAAACACATAACCATTCGACTAGAACTGGACCAATATAGAACCTTACTCAGTGCTTGGCTATACATATACATCCAAACGATGTATAATAGATCAAAAACTTGTTGTGGACCTGACGATAGCTATTGCGTGTTCGTGAGAATAGATACGTACAAACTACTAGAGACTCCTATCAAGCACTGGTTATAGCCTAAGTTTAAATGTGGGCTAAAACATGCATCCAACAGCCTGTGCATACCAGCTCGGTAGTTTTCGATAGAACCTATATACAACCAACTACATACACTACACCTCTCTACTTGTAGAAACACCGTTTGAGACTCCACTCCACACATGTACAACTCTGAAGTGTACGGTAGCCACGTACCTGCCCAGAAGATGTGATCGAATACGTCCTTCGCTTTGTAGACACATTTCACGGTATTGCAGATGTCCAGTTGAACAGTTGCGATTTTTGTGTTGAAGTGTAGCTCAACATTGTCGGATTTGTACACCTCAGCGGTCGACGTGATGACCTTTGAGTCTATTATCAATGTGAAATTCGTGCAACCCTGCAATACATCGAGTTGAATTACTTTTACAACAACTTCACATGCATCAGTATCTCGAAGTTGGCATGATGTAGTACACGTGGGCAAGATTGACTTCGCCAATGAACAAGACTCCTATGCTAGTTAGTATAACCACTCAGCACTAAATAAGAGCCGCCAACATTTCAGTTATCTAATTCGGTTCATGTACAACTAATGCCAATACCGCATGCCATTTGCTGGCAATTCGCACATCACACGAACGATCCGAAGCCGTCACGAAAACACTAACCGTCAGATTTCACGTACAGACGAATGCTTAACCACAACCTGTGTGCCTGCATTATCATGAGACAATAACTCACTGTCGCATTAGCTAGTGCAAATACTACCGCCACCAACCAGTCAGTTGAAAACACGTCAAATCACACATCTTTACCTGGACGAAGACTTTTGTGCAGTAGGCCTTCAGCGTGTATGAACAATCGGTGCAGCCGGTGAAGACCACTGTGTTCTTGTGTGTGATGTCGGTGACATCCTGCGTCACGTTCTTCTGTCCTACAAATGCGCGTGTGTCCTGTTGCGAGGTGTGCAATGTATGTTGTTAAAAACTCTCAAGGTGTAGAAGCCAAATGGCACAAAACAATATATATATATGAGAGAGACAGATAGACACACACACACACACACACACACACACACACACACACACACACACACACACACACACACACACACACACACACAACACACACACACAATATATATATTATATATATATAAATGAGCAAATACAATATCTCAATACATCGACACACGAGCATATTTCCGTATTGAATACATACATATAGATTTCACGAATCACACAATACTAACATATGCGATACTATCATATACAAGAGAAATACCAAATATAGCACATACTTACATTGATTATTGTGTGATTCGCGCGCACACACA